TTCCCATCCTGAACGTCAGCTACAAGCCTCAGACCATCAGCCCAAAGTTTAAGGTTTGTTGATTCAGGTTTTCATGATGGCTCCACAGAAGCACATTGCATTTACCAAAGAAAAATAAAATGGAGGATCTTATCTCATAATTGAGGTAACTCAGCAGAACGTGACTGGAAATCATCAGATTTTAACATTCTTTAGTATCAGAGTAATTCAGTGGTAGCTGTCAGTACGCCCAATAGTGAAAAGTGATCTGTTAATGACTAATTCAGCACAGGTAGTGTTCCAAAATATAAACATATACAGAGTTCAAATAGGCAGCGACGTTGTTGCCTACAGTGTAACTCAGTAGGAAAACCTCAGAAGCAGCTTGAGAAACGTTGGGGTTTAAAGATTTGTTCAGTATTAATGTAATTCTGACAGTACAAACTGTACAATAGCACAAATGAGCGGATAAGTTAATTTGGTGTCCTTAGTGTTCCTAAACGTAAACAAATATAGGCTAGTACCTCGTATCTATGGCAACTGTTCTGTCGTAAAAGTATGATCTGTTCACATGAACTTTTACAGTTGAATGTGACGTTTTCCAAAATGTTATGAAAAATATTGAATCTCATATTGAATATAGAGATATCCTAGTAGTTTCTAGGATTCTGGATCTAGACAGTTAAATCAGCAGCAGCCTGTAAAGCAGCACTAACCCGTAGCCTGTTACAAGATCCTGGTCTCAGAATCGTGTCATAGTTATGAGATCCTCCATTTTTTATTGCTTCTGTATAGCACAGTTATATACAGTCCAATAGAGAAGCCATGTCCAGGCTAATTTAACCTTTAACTGTTAAAGGATTATTCTGCAGTTTTTATTAAACTTGGCTTTGAACTTTTAGTACATGGTTGGTTTTGTAACATGAGATGAACTAAATGTGTGTGTGTGTGTCTTAGTACATGGTTGGTTTTGTAACATGACAGATGAACTAAACGTGTGTGTGTGCCTACAGGGCAGCGTCAGGGCTCTGCTGCATGAGAAGATCAGAGACGCCTACACTCACCCACAGTTCATCACAGACGTCATGAAGCCGATGCAGATCGAGAGCATCATTGACCAGGATGTAAGACACACACACCTTCATCTCTGTAGCCTCCATTCAGGAGTCCAGTATTTTTGCTTCACTTGTTTGTTGCTCCTTTATATGAGGACCAACTTCTTCCTTGTTTCCTCTGTTAGTACAAACTCAGAACGTCGTCCATATTTAGCTCTCGTGTCCTCAGCACTGTCAGCACAGTAACATGTTTTCTCTGAGGTTGTTTCTATGCAGTGATTCACCTCCCTCCCCCCCTCAGGTCCAGAACCTGTCTGGTGGTGAGCTGCAGAGAGTCGCCCTCACACTGTGTCTGGGGAAGCCGGCTGACGTGTATCTGATCGACGAGCCTTCGGCCTACCTGGACTCTGAGCAGCGGTTGATGGCAGCCAGGGTCATCAAGAGGTCAGACAGCCTTTGTCATTATGTTTGCAAGAGATTTGTAAAGAGCAGAAACACCCCACTGACCCTTTTCTCCTCAGAGCTAAACTAGTGAGAAGCTGTAGTTTCTACAGTGGTGAGCCTGGTGAATGTGTGTTTTTGTTGTTAGGCACAAATCCCACCCAGCAGCAATGTGAGTCCAGACCCCGGTTTAGCTGGTTTGCTCTGTGCCTGACTTCCACTGCTGTCCATTAAACCCACCCCGCTGCACTGGATGGTGGATTTCTTCCTCTGAGTCAGCTGATCGCTGCTCTGCTCACATTTCCTGAGCAGTGGAGGTCAATGGCACAGAGCAATAAGCTAAACCAGGGGCTGGACTCTCACCTTACAGTGAGGACACCACATTCATAGCTGCTGTTAGTCTCTGGATGGGATATGTGCACAGTAACACAAACACAATATCAGCAGTGTTTAGTGTTTTAAACATAGAAAACAAGGGATACAGAGAATAAATATTTTATAAAATCCATCTTTATTTTCTGTGAATATCTGCAGGTACATCCTCCACGCGAAGAAGACTGCATTTGTGGTGGAGCACGACTTCATCATGGCGACCTATCTGGCTGACAGAGTCATCGTGTTCGATGGCATTCCCTCCAAGACGACCTCGGCAAACATGTAAGACCCTGAAAGACATGTTTAAAAAGGTACAGCATGAGCTAAGCCTGGCTGTGAGGGTGAGAGAATTTACTTTCTGTGCGTTAGTCCTCAGGGTCTGTTGGCGGGAATGAACCGGTTTCTGTCACTGCTGGAGATCACGTTCAGGAGGGACCCGAACAACTTCAGACCACGCATCAACAAGCTCAACTCCATCAAGGTATTTGCATTGCTGTGGTATGACGCCCGATCGATGACTTGAGTCTTTGGCAATCTTGTGATTTCTTGTTAACAAGTCTTTTTCAATGCCGAAGTCCACTGACCACTAAAAGCACTAGATGTAGTTGTAAACTTGCACTGACCTTTGACCTCTGTCTCTCCCAGGACACAGAACAAAAGAAGAGCGGAAATTACTTCTTCTTGGACGACTGAGACGACTTCCTGTGTGACCAAACATGGCTTCCTGGGGCAGTGTTCAGGAGTGTTGAGAGTCTTGAGAGCAGGCTGCGTTCAACCAACAGCAGAGATCTGTCAAGTCATAAATAAAACTCATCAGCATCTATGTACCAGGCTGCGCTCGATGTTGTGAAATGTTTAAAACTAAGTGCATTGCATTCTGTGTTGTTCAGGCTGAACAGGGCTGACATCACAAGCCAGCGATGTCGTGGAGCAGCGGCATTTTAACACGTGCATTTACTGAAACAATAAAAAAATGGTGGAACTGACTCAGCAACTGTGTCTGTCGTCTTTTGGCATCAGCTTACACCATAAGAGGTACAAGGTACTGGATGTTTCAGCTTACACCATAAGAGGTACAAGGTCACAGTACTGGATGTCTGTTACCTTGTTTAAAGAGTCTCTTTCACCTCAGTCCTGCCAACCCTCATGAGGACACAGTCTTCCCATTTTCCATAGCTGTGAAGGGTTGTTCCATCCCTCAAAGTCATCTTGCATTGGAGGCAGGCTGTGGGGGAAAACAAAGACAAAATAGACCAAGTTATTTTGTTCTGTAAACCTTTGGTCCACCTTCAACACAAAGTAAAACAAAAATTAAGTGAAACATTCCACGGAAGCATGCAAGCCAATTAAGGGAGAACTGCTCGCTTTAAGACATTTGTTGGTTGGGGACACTTCTCCCTGAAGTCTCCCTTACCACAGCCTCCAACGTCCACTAATAAATTGCAATCAAATTAAGATGAGCAGTGTTTCAATATTATACAGATTCTTAAATTCTACAAGGTTGACTGTAGTCTGACAAGCAGGAGTCACTATGAAGCCTAATTTGATATTTGAGAATTGTTTAACCTGCTATAAAATTGAATATGGATCTAGTTTTAAGTGCACAGTGTTAAATTAAACATTTTAATTATTCACATATTAAATGTTGATATCAAAAGAAAAAAAACAAGACTGCGTAGAGTACCTGGATGGAAAGTCGGGTTTCTTTGCAGCTTCAAGGAAGAACCCCAGAGCCATGGAGAGGGTCAGGCCCCATTTTTAACACGTAACATAGTAAGGCACGTTTTTTAGGAGAGGGTCAGGCCCCATTTTTACCACGTAACATAGTAAGGCACGTTTTTTAGGAGAGGGTCAGGCCCCATTTTTACCACGTAACATAGTAAGGCACGATTTTTAGGAGAAGGTCAGGCCCCATTTTTACCACGTAACATAGTAAGGCACGATTTTTAGGAGAAGGTCAGGCCCCATTTTTACCACGTAACATAGTAAGGCACGTTTTTTAGGAGAGGGTCAGGCCACATTTTTAACCACATACTATAGTATCTGCTGAGATGCTGAGCATTTTTTTTAATCACACTGTGGTTGCACTTGTTTATGCAGTAGTGTGGTGGGGAGGCCGTTTGAAGGACAAACACACTAGGCGACTGGATAAGCTGGTTAAGGGCCAGGCCAAGTGCTTGGTGGGAGACTGGACCCATTAAAGACCGTGGTGGACACGGCTGTACTGAATAAACTGAAGGTGATAATGGACAATGGCAAACACCCCCTCCACAGCTTTCTGGAGCTGCAGAGACACAGCTGTAGCAATCGGCTCCTCTCATTTTGCTGCAGAACGGAGTAGTTCAGGAGATGTTTTGTCCCCACGGCAGTAAGGATGTTCAATACCTCCTGAATGAATAAATCAGTTACATGGGCTTATATACTTCTATGCTACAACCAGGCTGGAACAGGGACTGGACAAATGTTAACTTTATTAAAAATAAATGTGTTTATTTTAATATTGTTGAGTGTGTGTGGTTGTTATTTATGAGCAACTGGAAAGTTTAATTTCCCTTTGGGGATGAATAAAGCTGTTTTAAAATCTATACATGTACAGTGGGTACAGAAAGTATTCAGACCCCCTTAAATTTTTCACTCTTTGTTATATTGCAGCCATATGCTAAAATCATTTAAGTTCATTTTTTTCCTCATTAATGTACACACAGCACCCCATATTGACAGAAAAACACAGAATTTTTGACATTTTTGCAGATGTATTAAAAAAGAAAAA